TTTTCGTTCTTGATTAAATCAAAGAAAGAGTCGAGATACGTTTTTCTCATATTTTGTTTCGTCAGGCACACGATAGTGCCCCTGGGTTTTCAAGCGATTGACAATTTCGCTACTAATTGTCTACCTGTAGCTATTTTTGGCTACATCATTATTACATGAAAGAAGTCCGGAACATCATTTTTTCCATTTTACCCTTTGACTCCGAAACACCAACTAAGTGCTTGGATCTCATAACCAATGTTATTAACATCCAATAGGGTCTAAACCCTATTCTCTTGAAGCCTAATGCCTTTACTTCATCCATTTACTGCCCACTATCCCGAAATAAGAAACTACTCGAAACAAGATGTAACACTTTTCTTATAGAGTTCACATTTACATAAATCAAAATTATAATAATTACATATTTAATTATTTTAGTATTAGCACCCTTACGAAATAAAAAATTTATAAAAGACCATCGTTTTAAACCTAAGGTTACAACTTCAAAATAACAACATACTTATAGGACATTACACATGTGGTGGACCAAGCTGAATAGATTGCTGATGTGGTATCCTAAGTCAGCGCATTTCATTTATTTGAAAAAAAACTCAGATTCAATGAAGTCCAAATATTTTGAATCAAATATTTTGAATCAATTTACAATTTAACCCAAAATTATTTTTTTTTACAAAAAAAGATAGATTACCATTTGTAATTGTTTTCAAAAATACATTTCTAAATATGTTTTTAAAAATACGTTTTTGAAAATACATATTTTGACAAATGCTATTTAAAAATGTATTTTTGAAAATGTATTACAAACCGTTTTCAAAAACATATTCTGACAAACATTTAAAAATAAAATTTTGAAAACGTATATGAAAACATATTTATATTTATTTTCATTTTTAATAATAATAATAATAATAATAATAATAATAATAATAATAGTTATAATAATTGTATTTAAGTCTTTAGTGTGTTAATCATTATATACATATGTTCAACAAGAAATACAACAAAGTGCTTCTAGCTCGATGATAATATGAATACCACCCACTCCTATTTTCTTTGGGAAAATGACTTGCAAGGGTATTATCTTTTCGTTTTGTACACGTTTAGGTAACTTCATTTTTTTTTGTACACATTTGATCATTTAACAAGTTAAATGATCAAATAGCAGGTAATAATGGTAATATATGAACACATTTAATAAGTTAAATGATCAAATGTACAAAAAAAGAAAGTTGTCTAAATGTGAACAATTTTTTTTTATAATTTTTTTAGGAATTTGTATAATTTATTACAATATTTTTATGATATTTTTTCCTATAGGATTTTCTAATACAATGTTTTAAACTTTACTTATAAATTTTTTTAAACTTTTTTATACTTTCATATAATTTTAATACAAGTGCTTTTAAACCAAATATTTTATAAATGTTTTAAAATTTTCTTACAAGTTTTTAACATTTTTTTTACATTTTCATACAATTTTTTTATAACTTTCATACATTTATTTCTATACTTTCTTTTACAATATTTTTAAAGTCTTTCAGAGATTTTATATGACAATTTAATATTTTTTATAATATTTTAAAATACTTTCGTTAAATACTAGTTTAAAACGTTGTATTAAAAAAATTAAAAGTTTATAAACTTCTAATTAAAAAGTATTAAAAAGTTGGAATAATAGAGAGGCTATATAAAATATTTCACAAAAGAAAAACATATTTATTAATTAAAAAGTAAGTTTAAAATTGATCATTATTTAATTAATATTTAAAAAATTATGGATATTTTAAAAATAACGTTTGAAAAAAATAATACGAACAAATATGAAAAATAAAATCGCTATTAAAAGTGGGGAAAATGACTTATCAGGTTAATTAACTTTTCGTTTTGTTCACATTTAGGCAACTTTCTTTTTTTGTACACATTTAAGATTTAACCATTTAACTTGTTAATTTGTTCATATATTTCCATTGTCACCTGTTATAGTCGGTGACAATGACAATATGTGAACACATATAACAATTTAAATAGTCAAATGTGTACAAAAATAAAGAAATTACTAAATGTGAAGAAAGCGATAAAGATGATTATAACTTGTTTTCCATTTTCTTTCCAAAAATCCGGTTGTTTTCAAATAAATGAAACGTTCTCACGACGTCAGCCCACATTAGCAATATGTTCAGGCCTATTACACGGCATATGTTACTTTAAAAAAGTTGATTTAATTACAACTAGTAAAGAACCCGTGGCTACGCTGTTTTTGGGGTAATATTTAAAAAATTGGCCAACTTTAAAAAATATGTGCTGAAATTGTAAATCACCATAAATAGGGGAGAAAGTCGACAACCCCTAAAATTAGATGTCAAAAGTGTACAACGAAAAGAAGGGACATTGGTGGAGAAAATCCAAAAATGTTGTGACAATAATGTTAAAGTTGTCAAAGTTGGGAAAATATAGTGGCAAAATTTTAAAGGAAGTATTTTGTGTTTTTTATGTCAAAATGTAAAAGTTTTGACTACAAGGACGAAAAGTGTCAAATTCATTAAAGATTTGTGGCAAAAACACCAAAATGTAAAACCTTTGACTGCAAGGACTAAAAGTGTTAAAGTCATTAAAGATTTGTGGCAAAAACCTTAAGGCACAAAAACTTAATTAAAAGGCAAAAATGTAAAAATTTTGACTTTAGGGACTAAAAGTGTCAAATTCAATAAACTTTTGTAGCAAAAACCTAAAGCCTAAAAAGGTACTATTCTTAAGCTCCTTTGGATTTAATATATATATATATATATATATATATAATATATATATAATATATATATATATATATATATATATAATTGCCGATAGTCTGTATTTTTTTTTTTTTCTAAAAAGAAAACTAAATTATTTTAAGATTAGAACGAAATTTTATCAGAAATTTCTAATAAAAACATTAGATGTGGCGATAATATTGTTATTGCTTTTTAGAGTTAAAAAGAGTAGATGTAGGGATAGCATTTTCATTGCTTTTTTGAGTGATAATTTGGTATGTGCGATATTAGTAGATTTGGTTTGGAACTAGAGAAATGCCCATTAGGCCCAATATGGAATCAAAGGAGTTGGGACCAAATAATTGGGTTAATTGTAATCACACTTTTCTTGAAGGCTTGGATGGATAAAAATGGCAGCCAAATCCATCGGGTATGTTCTCGGTTAGTCTTTGAGGTCTTTGATTGAGAATTAGATCCTCATTATGGACGAAGGAGGTCTAAATAGAATAATTGGATTCTTATATCAAATTTGATATTTTTCAGTTGAGAAAATTAGTGTGGGTGACTTCCTAGTATAGTGAACATTATCTATAGATTAGGAAAAATGACACTTTAGCACCACAATGTATTTTGAATTTACTCATTCAGTCCCTTAATTTATTTGCATGCTTTATTTATGAGGAACAAAATAGGTATTGGCCTGTTCATTTGGTACTTAACTTAATACAACCAATTTAATATACCATGCAGCACTTGTGTATGTTTGAGACAAAACCAATTGTGCACAGATTACCTACGATGTGTTCTTTGATATCGTCTATCCTTGTTCATTAAAGCCATCAAGGTTTCTCAATCTCTCTTCACGGCATCCAACACCTTCACTCTCCTTACAGACAACGACGCTAAATTTTTCCGGCTATGGACTCTGCAAAATTCGGCATGGCATGCTTCAACAACACAATTATAAATCCTACGCCTACAACTAGATTCCATCTTCCCTTTATACTTTATTCAAAACCGTTCAGTTGGGTGTCAATTCTTCTTCTCCGATGATTCATATGACTGGAAACTCTAGATCCACGTTTGAATGCTCGACTGTTGCTATTACTCCGTCCCTCACATCCAACCACCACGCCTCTGCTATATTGAAGCTTCAAAGCCTTGCATCCGAAAATTGACAGCGTTAAGTGCCTCCTCCATTACGTAAACTTTCTACCGCATTAAGGTTATCTTCTCCACCGAATCGAACAATCTGAGAACGAAAGCTCTAAAACTGGGATAAAGGGTAACTTGAACAATTCAATTGTACCATATGCTTTGAAGTTTTTACATATTCAGTAACTGACTGTGTGTATAACACTGTTGCAGTCTCTACTTTTCTCTTTTGATCAAGTAAGCAAATATTGTTAAATTCTCTTTCGAATTTGCTTTGTTTCAGAATGGCTATCGCAGAAGAATCATCGTTGTCGTCTAGATTGAGATTGGAAGGGATTGACGATGTTGGGGATTTCGTTTGGGTGAGTCTCATTATTTTTTTAAATTATTGAAATTTATTGCTCTGGTTTGCCTAAATTAGGATTAATCGAAGATGAAATGTTGTGGTTGTCAATAATTTTGGCATACGGCAAGTTCAATAGCCGACAACGATTTTAGTTTCAATGTCAACTCCATAACTAATATGAATATTGAGTTTACTTTGTGAAAAACAACTAACTCTGATAAGATGAGAGGAATATGTTGATATTGATTAGTAAAAAGCTTCGAATAGTTTTGCATTTGATAAGTACTAAATCCTAAAGAAAATTGGTTACAACTACGATTGAGGTTTTTCATATTGCATGTTGACATAAACAACGTTTTAATAATACAGGGGAATCAAGGAGAGTAGGCATCCATGTCATTAGCTCCGACGGGATGTTTGGAAGGAGAAGAAAGATGAAAAGGTTATGGGTCCACACCCCGGTGGCAATGAGTAAATAGGTTACCCTTCAAAATGTTTAAAATGGTTTTTTAGACCGAACAAAATTAACTTTGCTCTCCTATAAGCAAGCAAAATAAGTTAAGAGATTGAATGAGTAAAATTATAGGGCTAAAGTGTCATTTTTTTTAATGGTTGGCTAACTCACTTACTCATATACCGATTTAATCTTATTCCTAAATCTACACCATTTGTTCAAAATAAGTTCAAAATAAGACTTGATTGAAAATATGACATTAACCAATTGGTCTACTAAATTTTAGTTTAAATAAGCTACATATTCAACTTAACCTATAAATTTAGAGTAGAACGTTGATCGCAAATAAAATAGAAAATTCAAACAACACATAATAACATGTTTTCTAAAATAACATTACTTTCAAAGGCACCATTTTAAGATGTAATCGCAGCACATCTTAATTATTTGATCACCACATACACAAAGGCCTTCCAGTTACGAGATGAATTTCATACACACTTGGTTATCAAACCCATTCCATGATGTGGTTTCAACAAGTCTTCAACTGATGACGGAGCTTGAAAGTTACATGTAATGGTTCTTTCTTGTACAATGGGAAATCCAAAGCATCATCCATGTTAAGGTCTTCGGGATTCATTGTGTTATTCACGAGGAACCAGTCAAAGTTTAGAATCAAAGAAGCCACAGATAGGAGTATTGTCTTCGATGACAATGCCTCTCCGGGACACATTCTTCTCCCAGAACCAAATGGCAAGTATTCAAAGTCTTTACCTTTGTAATGCATCTCCGATCCCACAAATCTTTCAGGTTTGAAGCTCAAAGGGTCATCCCAGATCTTGGGATCACGGCTAATTGCCCAGATGTTAACCATCACTTGACTATCTTTTGGAATAGTGTATCCCATCACCTCACATGTTTGCATAGCTCTATGAGGTAGAAGAAGTGGTCCTGGAGGATGCAATCTTAGGGTTTCCTTTAAGCATGCTTCCAGAAAGGGAAAATGAACCAAATCTGACTCTTTGACTACATTCCCATCTATCTTGTTCCTGACTTCATCACTAACCTTTTGCATTATCTCTTGGTTTCTGAGAAGCTCTGCAACTAACCACTCGGTGGTAAAATTCATAGATTCAGTGCCAGCCGTAAACAGCTCCTGAGAAGGAAAACGACGAACTAAATGATTAAGTATCACCTTCAAAGTGTAAGTGTGTGTGTGTGTGTGTGTGTGAGAGAGAGAGAGAGAGAGAGAGAGAGAGAGAGACCTGCATCATAGCATTGATTTGTTGATGTGTACTACCTTTTTCAATTAAAATATCGGTGAAATCTTGATGATCGGATGATGTATTACTTCCACTTGTTTTCTTTTGGAGGATATCCTCCCAAATAGTTCCAAGCTCTTGTTCTATGATCTGTACAACCTGCTTTTTCCAGCCTTGTAGATCCCATCGACCAAATATCGGATATAAGTCTGCTATTTGTGGTTGAGCACCCAAGGTAGAAAGTCTTCTTACAGAGTCCTTAATCCCTGCACCTATACCACTGCCTTCGAAGTCCACAAGATCTATCGATAACAAAGTATTGCCTATGATGTTGGTGGCAGTTACAAGCATGACATCCTTTATACCTATACTAGAATCACCTTTTGAAGCTATGTACTTCACCATCTCCATAACTTTCTTCTCTCTCATGTCCACACGAGATTCCAAAGCTTTGCTTGAAAAAATCTTTGATGCATAAAGATTCCGGATTTTCCTCCAACCATCACCCGTTCCTGATGTAAAGACAAGATTCATATTGTGAACAATCGATTCCTTACCTTGAAGCAATCTTGGTACATCTCGACCAGCAAGCAGATGATCATGGGTCTTGAGAATCTCTGAAGCTGCAGAAGCTGATGATCCAACAATGGTGATTTGTTGACCAAGGCGAAGCGTCATGAGTGGTCCATGTACTTGGGCCATCTCTGCAAGTCGAATATGAGGAATCTTTCCCATTTGGAAAAGGTTGCCGACTATTGGCCATGGATATGGACCAGGTGGAAGTGGTTGCTTTTTCGAAGATCTAATCATACGAAAGAAGAAGAAGATGAAGAAGAGAAGGAGCGACCAAGGAATCAAGAACGTGATCATCTCACCCGTTGTAACTCTTCCCAGATTTTTTTCGGAAATGCTTAAGACTATAACAGATTGGAAGTAAAGATTCGTTGATCAAGAAATAGAGGACATTTATTTCTTTTTTGCCTGGGATTGATTTCACAAATACCAGGAGTATCTAACAATTTGCAAGAAGCTAAGACATGGTAGAGAGAGTAGATGAGAATTATTCGCAATTGTAATATTGACAAATAGGTAGCAAACAATTATCTTCAAAATCTTTTATGTTTACTTTATTTGGTTATAGTAAATATTGTTCATATAGATATATATATATATATATATATATATATATATATATATATATATATATATATATATATATATATATATATATATATATGATGCACTACACATGTACACATGAAACATGAATACAATGTTTTTTTTCATCAATTTAAAATAAAAATTGTTTAAAATTTTATCATTTTTAACAAATGAATGCATGTAATCACAAATAAATACTCTTATTAAAAAATAATATACATTTACAAATGAATATAGTTACATATAATATAATTTACATCTTGAAAAAGATAGAACATAATATAATTTCGCAAACAGGTTCGTGTTCCATGATATAAGACATCTCTCATGAATTTCAGCAAACAGGTTATGTACACAACCTTTTCCTTTGAATCTGATCATTAATACAAACACTATAAAATATACCTATAATCATATTAATATGCTTAAATACACATTTCATCATAAATAAATACATCTAAATACATCTGATGGATACAAATTACTATCAAAAAAAAAATATTTATAAGAGACAAAGAAACCCATTGACAATATTGTGTCTCCTTAATAGATGCAAATAGTCAAACCCACATTCTTATTTTTTCTTGGTCCCGCGTGAAATAAGGAAAGAAACACATAGCCAAACTCTATGCATCACCATTTTTTTCATACAGAGAGGGGTTGGTTCTTCAAGCTTATTACTAAAAAAATCATACTCGAACCCATATTAATTGAAACAAGTGGAAGATGGCTGTAACTTCCTTTTTTTGCTATCATAACCAGCAAAGAGGGAAGCCAACATTTTTATTTTGTTAGGATCAAAGACAAGAAAAGACGGGGGTGGCATTAGATGGCAGAAGGTGATTTTTTTTTCAATACCTTTGACCCTTTCGACGACTGAAATTTCCCCCATCTCGATCTCTCTCTGAATCATCTTGCAAGAGACGACGTTTAGACAGGGGAAGAGGGTCGATTGTGGTTCCGACATCAGATGATGATGGTGAACAATGGTGTAGTAGACCGCAGTGTGCCGGAGATTGGCACCCTTCGGTCATCGCTCTTGGTTGGCGCGGTGTGGGACGATGGTGGCTACGGAGTGAGATAAAGATGCTCAACAGATCTTGATGGTCGTGTGCATATGATGGAGGCGATTAACTATGAAACCCTAGGTATATAGAAAGAGAAATGGGAGATACGGTAAGATGACAGAAAAAAGGTGAGAGAATGAGTAATTATAGGAACAAGATCATAAAATTACCTAAGTATATTTTTGGTATATTTTAAAATACCGAAAATATTTAAATTAAATATAAAATTATTAATTTACCTTTATAAATTGGTTGGTCGAGAACTGTTCTCCCATTCTCAACCTTTTTGGTGTTCTCATTTGATGATACTCCTATATATATATATATATATATATATATATATATATATATATATTATATATATATATATATATATATATATATATATATATTGTTGTGAAATGTTCACAGATGGTTTGGTATTGAAGGATGGATCTGACGTGGGTGTTTCCCTGAGAACACAATCACAGAAGAACCGTTAGAGGACGACCGGGTGTTCTCCCGGGACGTCGCTCCGATGATCAAGTTAGTTTTTTGAGAGAGTGAATTAGGGTAAATTCTTTGAGAGAGAAGATGGATCCCTTCCTTGAGGTGGAAGAGATCCTTTTATACCTGTTACTAACGGATCGTGAGGACTTTGTCCAATGAGTGTGGGTACGTGGCCTCCTCTAACTGGGAGAATTATGCCCACGTTAACTAACTGCCTGGTGACGTCAGTTCTGGGCGTCACCAAGGTTTCTTGTCACGTTTGTAACACCCAAAAATTTCGAACCAATTTAAACTTTTAAAAACACCTCAAGTTCGTCAAACATTACAACTTTGTTTTCAAAATATTAATTATCAGAGTATTCCCAGAAACATAAATTTAATATGAGGAGCTGTACGATCATGCCTTCGCCTTGCCTCGATCCCCAGATGTACCTGAAACAATAAACTGAAACTGTAAGCCCGAAAGCTTAGTGAGTTACCCCCAAAATACCCATACCCGCAACAACACACATATAATCATACACAACATACTATGGGTCCGGTCAACCATCGGGTTGGAATACCCCAGGCCCTCAACCATCCGGTTGGAATGCCAACATACTATGGGTCCAATCATCCTCGGGATGGAATACCCCAGGCCCACAACCAACAGGTTGGAATGCCCACATACTATGAGTCCAATCATCCTCGGGATGGAAATACTCACGGCCCACAACCAATAGGTTGGAATGCCTACGTCTATTGGCTTTCGCACAAAGCAGATAAGCCTCAACCGCCAAAAAAACATGTGCACATATAACGGATAATCACATAATAGTCTATAGACACAACTGATCTAACAGATCATACCACATATCACATAATATTATCCTACCCTCTAGGATACCGAACTAACAGATCGTACTAGCATAACATAACCAATAACAATTCAAAGGGCCGACCTTGGTGCCTTAGACCCTTGAGTATAGTGAGGATAACTCACCTCGCAACTGACGTCTGAAACTAGAAAGCTCAACTCCCGGATCCAACACGAACTTCACCACCTATAGTTACCATAAACCCTTTTCATAAATCTCCAAATTACCAGAATACCCTCAGAAGTTAACTGGTCAACTCTTGGTCAAAGTCAAAGTCCACAGTCAAAGTCAACAGTCCATGTTGACTCGACTCGCCGAGTGTAGCTTACCGACTCATCGAGTCCTTCCTGAACTCGAGAAGTCGTGAAATCCTTGATTGGCTCGTCGAGTTCCCCTTTAACTCGCCGAGTTCATACGTGTCCAAGAATTGGGAGAAACCCTAGCCGAACTCGCCGAGTCTTCGAACGACTCGCCGAGTTCAAGGCAATCTTCAACGGGCTCGCCGAGTTGTTCATCCAACTCGTCGAGTTCATAGCCATCTTCAACGGGCTCGCCGAGTTGTTCATTCAACTCGTCGAGTCCTTGCAGACCTTTATCCATGCAGACGCTTTTAAAGCCATGGCAAGGTTCCAGATTACAGATCCAAGCTTCTAAGGCATGTTTATCACGTAATGTTGCAAACTTTACACACATGCAAGGCTCTAAAGACCCTAAATGACCAATCTAAGCTTCCAATGGAGCTTTACACCTTGGGAGGGTCTCATTCTTATTGCATCACTTCATGGAATTTATCTCGAGTGATCGTGAGACGGTAATATCATATAAATCTTCAAACCTAGAGATATGAGTTGTTGACTATGAGTTGGTTATTCATTGATTGCACGAAAACGTATTGGTAACTCGATGTCATAAAACGTGCCTTTGTGAATAATTCAACAAGTAGTTAGTACAAGCATATCAGTTGAAGTTTATCTGTTCCTTCTAGAAATAGAAGCGATATCTGGGCCCCCGATGATGATTTGGTTTTGACCTATGTACCGGGCCCGGTCAGAACCTAATTGATGTGTTCAATTTAGTTCTATGTCGAAACAAATCAGAGATCGAGAAACAAATGCTGGACAATAAGTAAGACCATGTTCCATGTGTTTGTCCGGCTGATATCATGAGAACAGAGGATTATATGATCACTTATCTTAAATGGCATATCATCATCATCTCAGTTCTGAGAGACTTTGAAAGAGCTACGATTGCTAGTCAGATTTTGAAGTCATATTTGCAAATATAGTTATTAGACTTATCCAAGTGGGAGACTGTTGGATATAGTGTCTAAGTCCATAACTTTATTTGGTATGTACTTGACCCGACCCGGCATGGTCCATTTGGGTTGCATGGCATTGCAATACTTGGATAGACTAAATGAGAGAATAAGGCACTTATGATTATTAATATATTATAAGTTCTAATATATTAATAATAGTATTATTTAATTAGTATTGATCAAGTATTAATCTAGTATTAATTTGGTGATCAAAGTGAGACTAATTAAATATATAGGGTTGATTATGACAATCATCAATTCTTTTATGGTGGATTAATGATCCATGGTTTATGGGTTTGGTTATAACCATATGGAGCTCCATGGATAGTCCATGGGAGTTACAAACCCATGGGTCATGAGAAATCAAGAGTCATGACAATTAAGGGCATTCATGTGTAAACCCTAATTGTGACAACACTATAAAAGGAACCCTATGGCTAGCAAAATCATGACCTAGTGTTACTAGAGAGGGCATAACCGATTTTGAGGCTAAGTGAGTATTCTCTCAAGTTATTCCAAGTCTTGTGGTGTTGTGTGAAGCATTTGAGGCACAACATTTGGGGTGCTAGGCTCACAAAGTCTTGAAGGAATCCAAGCAACAACAAGGTATGTATTTCTACTAGTTTTATGTTTTATGTAATCCCCATGCCATGCTAGTTAGGAAATAACCTTGAAAAAGAAATTTGCATGTATATAGAGAAAACATAGATTCAAGGTTATTAGGGTTGCATGTACACTTAGGAAGTGTTAGAATGCTCAAAAACCCATCAGTGGTATCAGAGCCAGGATTGTTTTCTGTATACTTGATGCAAAACTGCTTAAAAATCGAAAATTCTGCACTCTGACGACTGAACTCGCCGAGTCCATGGGGAGGACTCGCCGAGTCCATGAACAAATTCATCCTACTCGACGAGTAGAATAATGCACTCGGCGAGTAGGAGCGTGCTGGGCAGTTTTTTCGAGTTTTGTTGCTGGAAATGGATTAAGATCATTATCCCAATCTGTTTTGGACTTGTAAAATCTGTTTTTCAAAATGATAATGATTATGTTAACCCATTTTACATGACTTTTATCAATTTTCAAGTATTGTATATGTTTATATGATTTCTTGAAATTGCTTGACATGAATTTGTGTTCTTATGAGTTTAGAAGATCATAGGAATTATGTGTAACCTCCATGTGTGTTTAATTCATGATCTTAATGGCTATGATGGTGTCCATAACTTGTCCTCAAGTTATGGATAACCAAAAGTCACTTCTTTAATTGTGATTAAAGAACTAAAGAGGTTTCATAAAATGAAGAGTCTTCATTTTATGAACCATTAAAACTCATAAGTTACAAATTGAAGAGACTTGGAATAGTTTCAAATCTTGCCCTCAAGTTTTGGAATTTGAAAAGTCTTACACTTTAATACTTTAATTCCAAATTAAACCTTAGATTTTTAAAAAGTTTAAAAATCAACACTTATACTATTATTATAATTTTATTATATAGATATGTATAAGAATATGTCATTCTTACCGTTAGTAGGCCTCATTCACGAAGCCGGTCTATAAGGGGGGTATAAGGTTGTTGCCTATAAAATGGTGACTTAATGGGTGTCCACTCTCACCCACCGCTTCCTTGATCGGTGGAGGGTCGTTAGCCGAACGGGTAGGATACGACTTTAAATACTTCGTTAAAAGTATAATGAATTATAAAGTAACTATACATTATAAATTCCCAATCTTAGTTACTTTAGGAAAATGTGAAATTGGTGCTAGCCCATAAAATTACACTTTGTACCTTACCAAGTCGTTAGTGGAGCGTGTGTGGTTAACCGGCACACTAACATGGACTAGTAAGAGTGGCAAAGGGTAACTTGACTTTATTATAGATCGGTGGAGCGTGTGTGGTTAACCGGCACATCGATTAGGTAATATTGTTGAGGGTACCAAGTCAATTTGTATGGTTATTCACACCTTGTTTGTGATCCTCGGCATCCCAGTCACAAACTTGAGAGGGCACAATCGAGATTCAAACATGCCATTGAAAAGTTCAATGTATCTCAAAAGATCTAGGAGTTTCAAAACCAATAAAACCTAATAATAAAATATTTCGTTCTTATGGTGGAAATTGGTAAATCGTCATTTACCTACCTTCAAATATTTTATAGTATGGATTACGGCATCCCTCTTCCAACTATAAATAGTTTGTTGGATCCTAGCCTTAATATTTCATTTGGGTGAATTATTAAGGATTCCTAATCTAATGAAACTTGTCTTTCTTTCCTTTCAGATGTCTTCCAACAATGCTTCTGGCT